AGCAGCTGGCCAACTTCATGGAGAAAGAGGGACTCTTTATGATGAACTCTTTCTTGCAGAAGCGGCCCCACAGAAAGTGGACCTGGTCGAGCCCCGACGGTTAGACAAAAAATGAGATTTACTTCATTATGACGACTAGACGGCAACTGTTAATTAATGTCTCGTGTCAGTGATCGCAAGGGTGAAAACTGGCAGCGATCACCGAATGGTGAGAGGCACACCGAACCTAAACGTTAAGTTGGAGAGGTCTCGTCTAAAGAAGTTAAAGCTCCGTCCTGCTCGTGCTCTAATCCAGTTTCCCCAAACCTTTTAGCTCAAGTTGCAAAACCGCTTTCAGTGCCCAGAAGATTGCAATGATATGAAAATTCATGGATATCGTCCATGCGGTCGGAGCTAAGTTCTGCAAGATCTGCCGCAGTAGAACACAAAAACTCTCCAATTACAGTCTTAATCTCACGGCTGAGATAAAGCTGCAATCGTCAGCAAATTTGACAGCATAAAGGCAACTGAACAGACAGATCTCCAAATGCATGCGGCGGGTCTTACACAACTTTAATACTGCTTGTATTGAAGAAGCTATCGAGCGGACCTAGGGCTCTAAAGTATTTGCCAGAGATCTATCTGTCAGGAGCAGCCAACTGTCAAAGCTGAAGACTGAGTGTTGCAGCATCGTTTCCGGGATACCTGAGATTTTGAGTGAGATTGAGAGGTTTTATGGACAGCTGTAAACATCATCGTTGGAGCCACACGCAAGTGTGAGTTACCATCCAAGAGCAAGTCATATTCGACACTATTCCGATGATATCCTGGACGTCAGTCTGAGCAAGATTAGAAAGGCTCTCCAGCACCTTAAAAACGGCAAGGCCTCAGGCGAGGATGGAATTACAGCGGAGCTTCTGAAAGCGGGTGGAACACTGGTACTTAAAGTCCTTCAGGAGCTCTTCAATTCCGTCTTCCGGAGGCGTTGCAATTAGTCTTAATGCCGAATTTTGAATGTTTTTTCTTAGTTTCAAAATGAAAATCAAAAAAACTAAAATTAATTTAGTTTAATGGAAGAAAAATAAATGACCCGTGGCAGCTAAGGAAGACTGTGGCAGCTTAGGGGCATGTGAACCGGACTCCTTCCCCGTCGGCACCAATGAAATTGTTAATTGCTATTTTTAGTGCTGATTTACTACGTGCTCGTCGGTGAAAGAAAATATCGTGAATTAAAAAAAAATATGTATGTGATCGAAATTGCTACTACTTATATCAAAATTAGTAAAAAACGGTCTTTAATTAGGTAAGTACGAGAATACTTAGGATTAAGACCGGTTTACTCTTCTAAGAGTACCTACTCTTTTCGTATTTATATCGTATACCCAATTCCGTTCTTGTCCTGCTTTTACCATAATGCTTATAATAGCAGAATATCACCACTATACGTCAATGACATGGTACTTGGTACACCATGAAGATACTTGATTTTGTAATCTATATGAAAAACAAAACATGGTCGCTTATACTACGAGTATCACACCGGGCTACTTCGAGCAGAACTTTCGGAGTGACGCACACCGGAATTAATTTGCTTCTTGTAGGTCCACTTCTGGACCGCTTTTTCTGCTACTACTCTATAGTATAATAATTATTAGTTAGATTTCCTCTTCAAAATAAAATTTCCAAATGGCCTTGGCGTACGCTGCGAAAACATTAATATATATAACTAGAAAAGCTGCTGCTCGATGACTCGCTGTTTAGATCCATTACATAAAAGTCCACCATCGTATGAGGAAATTTAGGTATTTCCAAGACTGGAGGACTGGAGGAGAGACTTCGCTCATACCACATGTTCCTATTAATCAACCTACCGTTTTATTTACAATTATATTTCGCTTTAAAAATAGAAATTTAATGAGAATAGCATTTCAATGACAATTTACAAATCCCAGGGTCAAACCTTGAATGTAACGAGATTACAAAGTTTTTTTCCGACGTAGCTGGCTCAGGTGTGTTTCTAGGGAACAAAATTGCCAAGTTTCCGCTGAGTGAGTGAAATTATTTAATTTATTCCATATAAAGCGTTCTGCAACTTTTAACAAAAATAATTTCATTAATAAAAAAATCTCCGGCTTTCCATCTAACGCGAGCGGAGCCACAAGTACAAGTTAGTGTTTCTGTAAAGGTACAAAAAATGAATTAAACTGAGTGTGTCAGTGTTTATGAAGGACACTCAGCTAATTTCAATTTAAAAGATAAAAATACAAACATTTTGAGGTTTTCATAATGATTTCTTATATTTACGCGAACATTGCACATGATTAAAACTACTTTTACGGATTTTATCGCGTTTATTTTTTTTTTCACTTTTTATTTTTTATTTTTTAATTCCCGACGTTTCGGTGCTAGCTTTCCAGTTCACTCCATGGTTTTTTTTTTTCACGTTTTTTTATTTGTTTTCATTGGGACTTGACGTAATAATTTTCTGTATCCGTCGACAAAAATCAACGCAATACATAATGAACTGTTAATTCAGGAGGACCATGTCAGATTTTCAATATTCGAGAGCATTATATGAATCTTAAATTTATAAATTAATAACTTTTTTAAAAGTAGCTCACAAAATAATTGTCCGCAGTGTTCGCAAGTTAAATCTAAGTTCGATCCTCGCCGAAACCTAAAAATTGTTAATATTACTTTTAAAATATATTTATCACCTACTAAGTGGTGAAGAAAATTGTTGTACGCGAGCTTTAATTTTTAAAATTAAATAAATCCAAAAAAAAACAACGTATAAAGCTTATTCGGTATATAAGCTACTTTTCAATGAATTTGAACATGTTGCACAAACTTTGACCTTGTTAGAAAAGTACATTATAATATATACATACCTTTATAGGATTAATACATTTAAAATTATACCTAATAAAGTTTACATAAATAAATGAATTATTCTGCCTATGAGTAATATGAGATACAATTATGAAAATACATCTACAGGAAAGAATACAACCCGCCTTTTTGAATAAATTTTGCACAAAATGACAATGGTAACTGGTAGATCTATTAACTATACTTTTTCTAACTTAAATGGTATTACGTTAATCTTTGTTGATAAACATATATTATAATCGCCGCCTGCTTAAAAATAGAAACTACACATAATCTATGAATTATTGTTACATTAATGGTCAATAAATAAAAATAGGTTCGGTATACAAAATATAAACAAAGTTTACTTCAAATATTGCCAAAATAAAAAACAACATACACGAGGTTAAATATGATTCATGACCATTTTTTAAAACAAATTTAATAATTGAAAAGAAATTTCTAACAGCCTAAGTAGATAAATGTATGATATCCTTCATTACATTTGTCGGATGTGATAAAATAAACTAATGTGTAACAATTTTTATAGCAACTTAGTATATCTTTGTGATAGGTATAATGTTATCCAACTTCAACATGTCAATGACCAACAGCACTTAATAGGAAGTGAGCTTATTGAACCAGGGAGTAGAGTTCGAATTACCGAGTAATAGGATAATCAACGCAAAAGCACAAATGTATTAAGTTCAAATGTTATCATGAATAATTTAATACTTTGTTACATATTTCTTAAGGGTAAGTACTACCACTCCTTTGTTAATAAATTTTATTATTAAATTAAATTTGTTGTTCGTTATTTACGAGGTAACTAGATAAACCCCGAAACACCCAATTACTATACCAAGTTGGAAAATATTTTAATAATGTGTTTCTGGCACAAAGTATTTAAGACTTAAATTTAAATTATTTTGTATTTCCTATTATTCTATACCATTTTTACTACGAAGTTAATTAGATTCTCGAAATTACAAAATTTCTAAATTTTATACGTGGTAGAGCCATGCTGCAGTTATATTAGAAGTATAGTTGTAGCACGAAAGATTGGCCCGACCGGGGAAGGACCACACTCTGACAGAATATCATCGTGAAATAGTAGTTTAATGCTGCTGTGTTTCGTATGGTGAGTGTAGAGAACCTGAGCCACTTTTTATTGGAAACGAGGCATTCCATCTTAGTCCTCACGGGTGACAACGCATCTGCATTTTGATTCGTAATCGAGGATAGATGTCTCTCTATAGGCCACAGCAAGCACTTACCATCAGGTGGACTGTGTGCTCGTTTGTCACCCTATCCTATGAAAAAAAAATACTGTTGTGAATATGAAAGTACGGGAACTTGTGAATAGCGTCAATTTTACGCTCGCTAGGATTTTAATATTAGAATCATCACTCAGTGTTTTTTTTTTATATAAAAATAAGGTGACAAGCGAACGAACACACGGTTGACCTAATATATAGACTGACTGACTTATCATGAGATCTCTAAAAGTATACACTCAATTGACTTAAAATTTAGTATACTCATTTCGCAATGTAGAACCGATTTTACCCATCCAAAAAAATTCTTGATTTTCAGCTTCAGAAATAAAATATTATCACTCTCCCGGCGAAGCGAGCGGGTATCAGTTAGTAATTAAATGAACGCCATGGTCTATAGCCACCTATATTTTCCGTGTATCTACTATTAAAAATCAAAATGCAGATGGACTAAGGGAAAACGCCACGATAAGACTAAAAAGTGTTTTCGGTTCTCATTATTCACCACACGAAAATCAGCAGCTTATGCTACTATTTCACGCTGATATTCTGTGCTAGGTTTTTCTATGGTCGAGCAGGCCCATTCGTGTGTCGTACATGGCAACGTGGCTAAACTACATAGTAATTTAAACTTAAACACCTATTAAAAGCTTAAACACACTTTTTTCTCTTATATTATTACTCATGTGTGTATATTTATTCCCGCTTGTATCGCCTTAAAATTTCTTGATTAAATTGAAATGTGTGTACTATTATATCCATTACTGCATCCGTGCATATCAATTCCTTCTAATCAAGACTACATTGTTTCTATGGCTAGATGAGTGTTAAGTCCGTGTTTCATGTCATTCGTAATTCTACTACGTTCTCAAAATGTATAAAGGTTACGTAATATTATATTTGTTAGCAACTGTAACGGCTAATGGTACTGAAAAAAAAAGTTTTACCATTGTAATCGATACCACGGTATCAATGCGTGATGAAATAGACATTTTGAAAGCGAATCTTCAATCTGTTGTTATCGATACAAACTTAGCTGACATCGCAAATTACATTTTGGTGCCTTTTGATGATCCCGGTAAGTAAAATTATCAAAAAAGTTAAAAAATATTGCTATTTATTGAAAAGTTAAATTTTTACAATCGACTTAAATTTTAAATTATATGAGCCATTTAATATTTAGAAGGCTTACAATATGTATTAATTTACTTAGTTTAGGCGATTTCTATATCAATATTTATTCCAACATTCTGTTTATTTGCACATATAAATATGTTACTTAAGTTTAGCGTATTCTTTAACATACCTACTGCAAATTTGTTCTGAACTTTGTAGGGTTCGGTCCACCCCTAATTATGTCTAAGGCAGATAGACTTGTCGAGCTAATGAACATCGTGGAAGTGGGCGGTGGAAGTGATTGCCCAGAAAGTTCTATGCCAGCAATTGAACAGGCACTAACAGTGAGCAAGCCTAATTCGTTCATATTTGTATTCACGGACGGATACGCTAACGACGATAGTAAATTGAGTTCTATAAAGAGACTATGTCGTAGTACACACAGCCAGGTAATTGTAAAAATTTTATTTTGTAAGTTGTTAAAAATGTTGAAAGTTTGAATTAACAAATTGAATTTAACTGCTAATATGGTATTATACCAGTTGTATGTTTCTGACAATTTTTAAATATTCTTAACAAAAAAATTATAGTAAGCAAACTTGGATGTTTGGTTATTGGCAAATAGATGTTGCAGATTATTGATTTTCACTAAATTTTAAATACGCTGAACTTTTAACCGTGTAGTGGCTGTGTGAGAACACACACTACCACATATCGTCCCAGGGATGTCGTAAGAGACGACAAAGGGAAACTAAAACAGGAGATGGGTATCAGCTTCTTCCGGATAACAACTCAAAATAATTAAAAATTGCGGTTGCCAAATCGTCTGCGAAGCTTGGCAACTATGGCAAAAATACTTCCTATGTCCAGCAGTGGACTTTTACAGTGGAGAGATGGATAGATTTAAAATAATACTCGAATTTATTTAACCTAAACTGTTGTTTTAATTGTGACAGGTGATAATTTTTCTCAGCGGCAAATGTGTTGCAACCGGTACAAGAGCTGTGGTTGGAACTATTGACGCTTACTTTGATGTTGCGAAATCATGTTCCGGTTCTGTTCTTCAGTTTGAATTAAGCAACTATCGACAGGTGTGTTCAAATGTAATGATTATGGCGTCTACGTGACTAATTTATAGGTCAGCTACGACTTCTACTATGGGAAATGCCAGAAAAATCTTATAGCTTCCATTAGATGGCTTTATGATCTCGTTTACTCTAGACATACAAACACAATTTGACGACGGACAAATGTCAAAGACTGATCTGGTACTGCTATGGTTAACCCGCCACAACGTGAGAAGCCCGTGTCCAGACTGGACTCTTACAGACTCATGAAGAGGAAGTCATTGTATTCAGCAACAATTAATAATAATTCTAGAACTATCTTTTTGAGTCCAAATATATGAAAAAAGTTTTATTTATATGCAAATGCAACTAAAGTATGAGACACCATTTGTTTTAAATGATGCTTTGATGAGCCTTAATGTGTTTTTCCACACAAATTGTTCGAATACTGTTGAAAGTTATCAGTCGCGCAGAGGCATAATGCTATACGTTTTCGCATTAATGATAGAGCGTCCAAGCCCTGGTCCTGCTGGAGGGAGCTTCCGGAAGGACAATTCTAGGGACGTGCGTCCTGCCAGCAGTACGCAATATTTTGTGGACTTTTTATGGATATCAAAGGCTGTCCTTCTAGTAGTACTTGACTTTCATGCGTAATAAAATTAGGCAGGAGTGACAAACATTTTGTACTTTAGTATAGGTATCTAGACATCAACGCGGGCGCTTCTTGAGATTACGGGGTAGAAAAATAAACAAGAATATGAAAGGAACTTAGTAAAAATTCAAATTATTTTTAAAAAATTATGCAAGAATTCTATTCGTGATTTGGTAGCTAAAGCAGTTTCTTCCTTTCTGCGAAGAGCATAAAACAAATCGCAAACCACATCTTACAAAAATTCCTCGCTTTTTGTTGTTTTTTGTAGACTCTGGAACAAACTATATTTGCGATGAACTCTCTTTCTGTCGTCTGATTTTCACAAGGCCTCAAGAATGTGTTCTTCGCTATGAGAGATGTTCTTATGTGGTGGTGGCTCATTCTCTTGTAGGCTATTAGCGTCATTTTTGGTCAGAGCTAATACCAGGTTGGTAGTGTGTGAGACACCAGGTCATGTTCGGTGTGGAAGAAATTATTAAAAATCAAATACGCATTTGTTTCTATAATGCCCAGAACTGACGCATATATTCTATGTTCCCATTTATGTGTGCTCCAAGCTTTTTTTAACGCCAATCCGTCCTGCCTGATGTGGTTGTGAATATCGATAGCTGCAGCACGATCAAAATATTGCTGGACTAATTTAGGCCTCACAACTTCTCTATAAAATAAATTTCCTTCATCATCCCACCTTCTTTTGCATGATGGCAGGCTTGAGAGTGTCGTCTCACGTTTCACAACAACAAATGTATGAGCTTTTTCGTCTTTCCATGCATAGGCAATCAGCTGCACTGAGTCTTTTTTCGCTGTACTTACAATAAATGCCCCCTTGTGCGTCAGATACTTTGCAGCCATATTCGACACGGGATATAAACTGTGTGCTGTATTTACCTTTGAATAACTCCACAGCTGTTATGACCGAAGCAATCCATGAGTCTCCAACTATAACTCTTCCAGAATCATGCCATGGTTCCGTCAATCTCAAAGTAGACTAAAGTGTCAATCGTAGAGGAATTCCAGCAACAAATTCTCTTTGTCATTTCTTTATACTCATTGCTTCTTTACCCTCATTAATTTCCAATCTCACTGTAATGTTTGTATTACTATCACACACTGTTTTTACTTCATAACGCACTCTTTTTTGGTTTTCTTTTAATTTTCATAACTCCTGGCATTCCGTCTTTGAGGTACGCATATCTACCATACCAGGCGAACATGGATTCATCTACAGTTATTTTTGAACCAGGACGGATGGTATCTTTAAATATATCATTACTAGTGTTCTGGTGTTACGCTATTTGTCAGAATCATCAATTTCTAACGGTTATGTGAAGCGCAGTTCCATTAGAATGATCTCAAATCTTTGACGACTCATTCCAAATCTTTGTCCGAAATTTGCAGGGGGAAATATTCCATCGGAGGTCGAATTCCAGTAGGATCTTCGTTCTGGCAAATTTTGAAGATATATAGCTTAAAATATACCAAAAAAATAATTCCTTCTCGTTCAACAGCATTCGTCTTGAGGGAAACGAAGTGAACCAATCACTTTACTATATAACTAAGTTTCTCTCTGGGAAATACCATAAAAAATGCATCTTCGACACTGTGTGCGGGCTCTAGTGGTACTACCAGCGTAGCTTTGAAATAGCCTTGTTGTCGTTGATCGGCCCGTATTGCTTCATGAAAAGTCCAGGTGACTCCCTTCACAATGGTTATATTTTCAGCAGATAAATTAGTTGCGCTACTCATATTCGGAGTCGGATGGACTGAAACAGTTGTATCGTCATCTTCACTCGAAGATGAGGAACCCGATTCTGATGATGCTGAAAAAAAAGTTCTATTAATGATCAATAGAAGCAAAAGGGTGCACGGTGCATTTGAAATTAAAATTATTTGTACACACATACAGCCTACCTATACAATACACATACAAATACACCCTCACAAATACGTAAAAAAGCACTCATACACACACATATTGAAAACCGCCACTATTACGAGCTATATAGGCAATTTTAAGGTCAGATTACATAAAGGGTACTAAGTTCTCGACTGTACATTTGATGAAATTTTGTGGTGAACCAAAAATATGCAATCCAAAAAAAATGTTGTCAACCTATGCAAATCACGGAAAGGAAAAGGCGACCGACCTACTACTTTTTTTCAATAGTGGGTAATCGTAAGGCTATGAACAAAATTATTACTTACAATTTTCTTTATTGGTGTTTGCTTCCAATAAATTATCGTTTTTAATACCAACAATAACTAATATGGTAATTATCACCAAAATGTTTGTGACTCCAGGTGTTCTGGCCATCATTTTCGTCGAAATATGTTATATTAGACTATTAGACGCCACGTGTTATACTCGCCGCCATTATGGGTAGACTCATCGTAGAAACATGATTCAAAAAGTCGCTGAATCAGAAAGAGACGCACTATGCATGTTAGTTAATTGCGTCCTGCTAGCAGGCTTAGAAAGCCTCATATAACCAAAAATATTGGGTCCCATCGGTAGTACGAAAACTCCTGCTGCCAGGCCTCTGGACGTTCTATCATTAACGCAGATCGGAATATATCTCAATCGAAGGCAGAAATTAAGTAATTAGTTGAGAAGTATCAAAGACAGGATAAAAAATATTATCACTTTTTTTTTAATTTATTACACAAAAATACAGTCGGTTATTTTTTATATAACTTTCGTCAAACTGCAGGACGTTGAACGTGTGTTTGTTACTTTTCTGTTCCGATGCGTCTAATTGAATAACGTCTTTTAAATTTCAGGTTTTTAAATTTATGAAAGAATTAATTAAAACGGATTGGACAGAAATCCAAGCTCATGAAGAATTCATTGGACCGAAACTATTTACGGTGGGTGTTTTAAAATAAAAAAAATAAAAAAAACAATTTTTGTTTTGTAAAGTCATAAAATTAAATAATAACTAATAAATTATAATTAGCGGAACTTTTTAATGTTTAACGCAGTATTCAATTTAATTTTTCTCTAGTTTCCCGTCGATTCGTATACAAAGGACTTTATTGTAGCAGTATCGGGCGAATATGCATCTTTGGAAATAACCGACGAATATGGACGAAGTCCCACTGTCGAGAAAATTGTTGATACACGTCAGTCCCAGGTAATGCTTAAATTAAATACTATTTCGTATCTGAATAATCTGCTTGTGAAGTTAGTTAGTTACAGCCTACATACGTCCTACTGCTTGGCACAGGCCGCTTCACATTTCTGAGAAGGTTTTAGATCAAGGAAATATATATATATATATATATATATATATATATATATATATATATATATATATATATTTATTTATATTTATCCACCCTAAAAGATCCACCCTAGGGTGGATACTTGGAAACGCGTGTTCATCTCCCCCCATACAGGGTGGATAAGCGGAATCCCCTTTTATTTGATCTTCCGACTTGTCGACGCAAAAACACATTTAGTGCACCTCAAGATGTGCTACGAGTAATCAGCACAAAGACAAAGAGAATCAGTCAACGTGGGTTATTCTGTTTATCCACCCTAAAAGATCCACCCTAGGGTAGATACTCGGAAACCCGTGATCATCTATCTACCCCATACGGGGTGGATAATCGGAATTCAGTTTTATTTGCTCTTCCGACTTTCTACTCCAAGTACAGTTTATACGTGGTAGTGGGCTCGCTGCAGCAATATTGTAGTTGTAGCATGAATGGGTCGGCTCTCACAGAATACCAGCGTAAAATAGCAGTTTAATACTGCTGTGTTTCGTATGGTGAGTGTAGAGAACCGGAGACCCTTTTTACTGGAAACGAGGCATTCCATTTTCATCCTCAGGGGTGACAACGCATCTGCGTTTTGATTCTTATTCGAGGATAAATGTAGATGTCTATTGACCAGAGCATCCACTTACCATCAGGTGGACTGTGTGCTCGTTTGTCACCCTTAATCTATTAAAAACGCATACACTTTGATTATTAATTAATTTTTAATTACCTATAAACTTGTTGAAAAAAACATTAAATATTGCCTTTACTGTGACCGTACCATACATTTTAATCAAATTGAAGTTCCTCGTTTTAAATAGTATTACTACGTAATTTATAAATTCTGCAATATATCGAGGAAATTACCAACACGAATTTTATTATTGAGTAGGCATAATTTCATATCATGGAAAAATTCGCTTTTTAAATTTCTTTGCTACGACGGATGTGTTAGCAAAATTCTGGGCGTTTTTTTTTTTTTGCAAGTGTTCTAAAAACGTTACTTGTGTCTTTAATATCATTTTGAATTATTTTATGCCAAAATTCTAATGAATCTGTAATCCTGTGAGGTACTCCTTTTATTTAAGCGTTGTTCCTTCAAATTCGTTTGTTCCTTCAAATTCGCTTGTTCCTTAAAATTTGTATAGTTGTAGCACAAATGGGTCGGCTCGACCGGGGAAGGACCACGCTCTCACAGAATACCAGCGTAAAATAGCAGTTTAATACTGCTGTGTTTCGTATGGTGAGTATAGAGATCCGGAGACCCTTTTTACTGGAAACGAGGCATTCCATTTTCATCCTCAGGGGTGACAACGCATCTGCGTTTTGATTCTTATTCAAGGATAAATGTAGATGTCTATTGACCAGAGCATCTACTTACCATCAGGTGGACTGTGTGCTCGTTTGTCACCCTTAATCTATTAAAAACGCATACACTTTGATTATTAATTAATTTTTAATTACCTATAAACTTGTTGAAAAAAACATTAAATATTGCCTTTACTGTGACCGTACCATACATTTTAATCAAATTGAAGTTCCTCGTTTTAAATAGTATTACTACGTAATTTATAAATTCTGCTATATATCGAGGAAATTACCAACACAAATTTTATTATTGAGTAGGCATAATTTCATATCATGAAAAAAATTCGCTTTTTTAAATTTCTTTGCTACGACGGATGTGTTAGCAAAAAATCTGGGCGTTTTTTTTTTTTGCAAGTGTTCTAAAAACGTTACTTGTGTCTTTAATATCATTTTGAATTATTTTATGCCAAAATTCTAATGAATCTGTAATCCTGTGAGGTACTCCTTTTATTTAAGCGTTGTTCCTTCAAATTCGTTTGTTCCTTCAAATTCGCTTGCTCCTTAAAATTTGTATAGTTGTAGCACAAAAGGGTCGGCTCGACCGGGGAAGGACCACGCTCTCACAGAATGCAGCTTAACGCTGCTGTGTTTTGTATGGTGAGTATAGAGATCCCGAGAACCTTTTTACTGGAAACGAGGCGTTCCATTTTAATCCTCACGGGTGTCAACACATCTGCATTTTGATTCGTAATCAAGGATAGATGTAGTTGTCTATGGGCCACAGCATCCATTTACCATCAGGTGATCTGTGTGCTCGTTTGTCACCCTATACTATAAAAAATTTCACTAGCTACTAAAACTTCTCGAGGCAAGCGGAGCAATAAGTCCAAGGTAACCCCTATCACACTATCCGTGAATTTTTGCAAGATCCACTTGAAGACGGCGAAGCCGGCCTTGCTCTTATTCCTTTTTTTTTTCTATTGCTTCTTGACTCAGATATCCTCTCCGGCTGATACTTTGTATCTCTTGTATCCGGGGTACAAATTCGAATACTGGGCTAGAGTTTGCGTAAACGTCAGAGAGGACATCTCTTTTCGACGCCTGCGCGTAGACAGCGATGACCATCACTGCGTCTACGAGTGCCTCTATAGGTCTTATAGCGGTAATGCTGAAACATACCGACTCACCGACCACGTTAAAATGGCTACAGATTCTTTGCTACAGCAGATCCCATCCGCAGAGATCGTGATCCTTGAAAATTTTAACGCCAACCACGCTGAATGGCTCGGTTCATGTTTAGCCAATCATGCGGGGAGATCTGCTTATTACTTTGCCTTTGCATATGGTCTTACACAGCTGGTTACTTCACCAACGTGGATTTCAGACATGGAAGATCATACACCTTCTCTGTTGGACCTTCTTCTGACCACTCATCTGGACAGATATCAGGTTTCCGTCAACGTCTCTTTAGGCTAGTCGGACCATTGTTTTGTCCGGAGTGTGGTAGGACTCACATCCATGTGGTAGGACGCATGGCGTCCATCAGCGGATTATGATAGGATGCGGTCTTTTTTTTGCATCCTACCCTTGGAGACGGTTTGCTTCTCGCCGCACTATCCCAGCGTTGTTGCTTAATCTATCATTGATGTGGTACTTCAGGGTATGGAACTTTTTATACCATCCTCTGTGGTGCCCATCGGATACAGATCAGCCATGGTTTTGTCCCTCCTGTAAAATAGCTTTACGCTGTAAGCAGGAGTGCTACCGGGCCTGGACTGGCGCATCACGTCTTGGGATGTAAACACCAGAGCCCTTAAAAAGAATTATAATTCCGCCTCCAGGTCCTTAAAAAGAGTTTATTTAAGGACCTGGAGGCGGAATTTTATCTAGGCAAGGTCTGAGCACATCGGCAGAATTGGTAAGTAATAAGATAAGTAAGAAGGTAAGAAGTTAGTTTGCTTTCCTTTGGGAACCTCGATGCCCGAATCGAACCGATCGACATGCCTACAGGCGTCCAAAATAATGAGGTCTATTATAAACTGCCAACTCATGACGTACCTAGAAGATCACCAGCTGATTAATGACCGCCGATACGGTTTTCTTCGTGTTCGATTAGCTGGTGATCTTCTGGTCTATCTGACTCATTGTTAGTTGCCTTCACCCATCAATGAGTACGGTAGTCAGTAGAGTCCAAGGGCATTGGCCGTTAGTTTGAACAAAGCGCTTCTTTCAAAGCTCCCTTCTTATGAACTTCCCAAAAATTGTGCAATTGGATCACCAGTTTCTTTGCTGATCGGAGCATCAAGCTCTGATTACAAGCCTATTAACGATGATATACAAATCTGCGTGCTATCACCAACGCTGTTTCTTCTGCATATCAGTGATGTGTTTTAAACTGGTAATATTTGTTTGTATACTGACTGATTCATTTGTTGCTATACTGACGATAGCACTGGTGATGCCTTATACACCGGCCATGCCAATGTTTCTCGGAAATGTCGCCAAGTACCGGGACAAACTTGTATCTGATTTCGAGTCTTTGCTGAAGAAAGTCTCTGATTGGGGGCGACTAAATCTAGTCTAGTTCAATCCCCAGAAGACACAAGTTTGCGCGTTTACCGCTAAAAAGGACCCCTTTGTCGTATCTTCTTAGTATTTCTTGCCTCAGCTAGCAACGGAATCCTCATGTCGACATATCGAATAGTGTGCAATTTCCTGGTCACTTGGAAGGGAAGGCCAAATTGGCCACTAAAAAACTTGGCGTGTTCAGCGGATCGAGACAGTATTTCATGCCAGAACATTGCTTGCAACTTTATAAAGCACAAGTTCGGCCTCACGTGGAATACTGTTCCCATCTCTAGGCCGGGGCCCCCAGTGCCAGCTCCTAATACTTGACTGCATCCAGTGTTGAGCGGTTCCAATCGTCGATGACCAAGTTCTTCTGATCGGCTCGGTTCACTGACGTTTTGTACGGTGTCGTATGTTGACGTATGTTGTATCTTTTCACATTTTCTATCGCACCTACCACGGGGAGTGCTATGAAGAATTGTACAGATTAATTCCAGCCCTCAAATTTTATGAACGCACATCGCGTCAAAATTCACGATACCATCCTCACCATGTGGATGCTTGGTGGTCCACTACTGTGCATTTTACTAAGAATTTTTTTTCTTTGTAAAACATCTCTGTGGAATTTTTTTACCACCGGTGATTTTTCTGGACCGATACGACTTAGGGACCTACGATAAAAAAGCTTACTCCTTTTTAAAAGGCCGGCAACGCACCTGCAAACAGCTCTGGTGTTACGGTTGTTCATGGGTGGCGTTAGTCACTTAACATCAGGTGAGCCGCGTGTTCGTTTGCCCAAATCTACTATAAAAAAGGAAGACAGTTGCGGAGAGAACGGACCACTGAGAAACTCTAGCATTAGTTGATATAAGCTCGAAAGACAAGAACTTAATTGATCGGAGAGACCGTTCACTCAAAAACTCTTTCACCCATCTGACGTGACAGGGGATAAGCCGTACGCTGAAAGCTTGTTTAAAAGACTTTCGTGCCAGGC